GGGGTGACACAAAAAAGGGGGGTGGGGGGGTGTCAAAGGTCACCCCTATTAATTTCCTGACCACCCCCACCCACCCAGCTACTTGGGATTTGTGAAATATTATGTATACAAAAATAAACATGTTTGAGCAATTACATTTTTATCAGAGAACCTCAACAAGTTGACTGCTATTTTAAATGGAAAATAGAAATCAAATTGCAGTTTTTTTTAATAACCTGTTTATGACAAGAGCATAATAAAACTCTTGAAATATTGTTCTGTATTTTCAGTGCCCCCTCCCTCCCTGGCCATCCTTTTATGGCTAATAATCAATCCAGGGACGTGCACTGCAAATTAGCTAAGGCTATAAATGTTATTGTGTAAGTTCATACTTGACAATAAAATTAAATAGGATTAAATGTAACATTCAGGGTTAATAAAATGTTATTGTTCCATTAATCAAATATTTCAGGACATAGAAAATATGCATTCTGTTATGTTTGTTTAGACATTTTTATTTTGTATTTACGAAGCAGCTATTTAGCAGAATTTTGCTTATTTATCAAAACATTTCTAAAACTTTGTCAGTTCCCTTGGTACTGATGTATCCGTCATTCATGCAGTAATGAGGCGCGATGAGACTTTTCTGTAAAAAAAAAAGCTGAGATAAAGAGGTTGCGGAGGGTTTAAACTGTTATGAAGAATGGAGCGAGACAGTTTTTAGTCACTTTTTTACTGTTTGTCTAAAGTTTTAAAAAGTTAGAGATAGAAAATAGTCATCTTATTTGACCCACAAGTTATTACAGGGAAATGTTGGGAAACTACAACTTTGTCTGTAAAGAATGGAAAACCCAAACACCACTTGAGAAAAGTTGTTTCCTGTTCAGCAATGATGACACAAACACGTTTTTGGCAAAATAAGACTCAGCTGTCCATTGGAGTCTAAAGTATAAGGGAGGGACAGTGTTTTGAAGAGGGTAATGCAAACATTTTAGATGGAAAAGTGAGCGTAAAATAAACAAGAGAGTTCARAGCGGCCCTGACGTCTTGCCCCGGGTGTTTTCACCAACGCTTCGATCAGCGTGACGTCCACAGGTGGATCCACACGTGACCCGCAGTGACCTGAGCTTCACGCATGATTGATGGATCATGGCCTCTTATTTTTAATGTACTGTCAACGCTGTAGGAAAAGAAGGGCTTATATTGTCAGAAATGAGCCATGTTGAGACGACGAGTCTTCAAAAGAACGGATTTCTACCTCAACTGTCGCATGTCTCTAAATGAACACCAGTCATTGCATTCCTAAAAGCTTAACAGAGCTATAAATATATTTTTATCTGCGACTAGTTGAAGTGCGGTTGGCATTAATAGATAAGACACTGAAGTTCTTTTAATTTATGGTACAGCTAATAACTATCTAAGACCAGCGAAAACGTCTTAACGTTGTAGCATTTAAACTATGTTTTTGTTGTTTTGCAGTGTGTAAATACAGGTGCATAATGAGCAGAAGTTGCCAAGAATAAGTTACATAAATTTGTCATGTCAAATATGGCAGAACATTTAAACCAGCAGTTTAAAACAGCATGGGTACCAGTTTGTGTTTGAGTTATAACTTATCAGGTTATATTATATTACATGATGATCAGCAGGAAGGCTTAGACACCAACACATAAACACTGTTTCAATGGAAAGTTTCCTCAGGGGAGAGCAGGATGTGCMGTCTGAATGAGGAGGCTGTAGGGGGAGGACACATGTTGGACTCCTCACAGCTGTGAAAGCTGAGACCCACGAGATGACGTGAGAAAGAGACGTGATCATATCGGTGTAGGCCAGAGTTTCAGACCGGCAAGAAGGAACTGAATGAGCCATATTATCCTTCCGCTTCTGTTTTTTTAAAATGTTTTACTCATTTCTAGAGTAATTCTGCTCATCCAGGGGGAGGCCCATATGCGTCTGTGCTTGATGACTCAAATTCTTACAAACTATGTGTAAAAACTTTACCTTTTTTAACGTTTTCTGACAGGATATTGTCCAAACAMCAAATAAATCATTAGATTAAGTCTTAATCTTTAAAAAAAAATCACTGATGATGAAGAAATTAAGAAACTAATAGTTATTTTTTCTACTGAAGTGATTAAAAAAAAGATTAGGTCTTAATCTTTGCCATTAGTGGTTCTAGAGTGGGGTATAAATAAATGRCTAATATGTTTGCAAGTCAGGAAACATCTTTTATAATTATTAGGGCTGTGTATTGGCAAGAATTTGGCGATATGATACATATCATAACAGAGGGGTCACGATACGATATAACCCGATATATTGCGATACTGTAAGCAAGGCAATATATTGCGATTTTTTTTGTCCAAAAATTCTATTACATAAAAACCTCTTACCGAAAAAAAAAAAGAAAAGCTAATGTTTACTTACAATGCTAATGCTACCCTTACTCTCTGGCGCTCAAGAGGTAGAGAAGCCAAATGTCTGGCTCACTGCTGCCAACTAGTGGTCAGAGGCTGAACTACAACATAAAAATGAACGGTTGGCAAGAAGGTTGACATTTTAAACCTTAATTAAAAATCGATACAGGGCTTTAGAATATCGATACAGTAWCGGGAAATGAAATATCGCGATATTTCAGTGTATCGATATTTTCTTACACCCCTAATAATTATGCTGTGGTAAAATGTTGGTGTTTTGTTATTAATCCACATCTATAATAAAATGCCAACTGAACTGACCTTTTTAGCTGCTGTGTTGGCTTTTTGGCCTACATTTTTTTTATATAGATGTTAAGATAAACTGAAACCATGCAAACTATCTTTAGACCATATCTAAAGACTAATTTCAAGGATTAACAGTTTGTTAAAACATTCTCACGCAATGGCAAATATTTTAGAAAAAAATTATTTTTCCTTTTGTTGAGTTTATACGATGATTCATTTCTTTTAGTTTGTTATGGAACTTAAATGAGAGTTTGTTTTTTTAGACAGGAGAAATTAGAACTTGTTTTTTGTAGTTTTTAGATTTTCTCTTGACAACCTCTTTTTGTGGCTAAACTCCAGCTTTTACTTGAATTAAGTGATTCACATCCTCACATTTCAAAGCATTAACGTCACCTCTGGGTCGTCTGGCTTTGCTTTTTATGACTTAGTTTGACTTTTCCCTCTTTGGCTTCAAGAAATTAACTGAACAAATAATTTTCCTGAATGCTAAAGTAGTTTATCTCTTGTAGGAAAGTTTATCATTTTTGTGTGCACGTTTGTTGATCATGAAAGGTGCACTGCTGGTTTTTATTTGTGGTTGATGCGTGCCCTAATTCGGAGAAGACGACTGCTCCACAGTGGGCTACGTGACAGAGAAAATGAATGCCATGGCTGAACGTTTGCCGGTGTCTACATGTCTGCCAGAATCCGTTCGCTCGATTTACTGGTTTTGTTTTATTGATAAGGTCTCACCCTGTCGTCAGTGTTTACTCCCAAAGAGCTGAGAGGCTGTGGTTCGTTCGCTGCTGACAGAAATGTCCCAGTTGCCCGGTTGCAGCCTGCTGCACTCTTCACATGCAAAAAGGAAGATTTACATAAATGATTCCAGGGTGATTTTCTATAATGGGAATAAGAGTGAAGGATGATTTTATGTACTTCTCATTTCTTTTCGGGTAGTTATAAACTTTGTGGGAATTAWTTGCAGGGCCGTGTGACTGTGTGGCTACTGAAAACAATGACTTGTTTTGGAAAAGTAGCTGAAAGCTGCTGCCTTATTAAACACGGCAGGCCTGTAACCTAAGCAGGAGCGCTGAGTGAGGTAGAAGAGGAGGGTTTGTCACCAGTTCCAGTGCTCGGCGTGTAAAATAGAGTTTGGTGGGTGTAACTCTGTTGTTTCTCCTGTGAGGAAGCCGTGCATTATGTTGCTCTTCTTGTTTCTGCGTATCAGGAAGCATAGTAATGTCACCTAATTTTCTTTGTTTCTCATAAACAAGTTAAACAAATTCATTTTCATTACCTGTACGTTAAGAAAAGTTGGATTTCTTTTTTGTTTTTGCATATTCCAGATGTTTGTTGTGCATTTATCCGTGTAGATGAGATGCAGTTTAAACTTTTACTTTTTAAAGTCATCCGCAGCTGGTTTTAAACAATCACATTTCCGTGGGCTTTATAAACAAATACATCTAATCCCTGAAGGGGTTTGGATTTAGATAGACCCTGGTGGCGACATTTCCCAGAGCAGACTGACACGGTTTGACTGTTTACAGYAAAAAGCATCTGGTAGTTTGCCAAATGCTTGTAGTTTTTGTGTTTCAGACAGCCCTGTTTCTTGTTGATGTGCTGATTTGCAGTGAAGACTGCAGCAGACAAAAGAGCCCCTGCATRTCTGCTTATATATACAGTGCTACGAACCTGATGACCCACAAACCTAGAGACCCCACTGGCTGTAAACGTATGAGTGGATCTTTATTTGTTTGTTCATAGAGGACAGGYCTGTAGACACTTCCTCTAAAAACCCACAGAAGTTTTTCTTCGCCGTCTTTCTGCTCTCCTGCCTCGTCGCCTAAACTCTGCCTCAAACTAAAACTGTTCAGACTCACAGAGGCTACTTCGGTCACATATAAACGTAGCTGTGGGCGCTCAGGTAAAATCTCTGAAGAGCGCACGTAATCCTTTCGAAGTAGTTTCTCACCGATGTCTTTTAATGAAACCCGGTGGGGTTTGTTCTTGTTTATCTCCTGCTTTTATTTGAAAGTTTTATGAAAATTCCAGACATCCCCCCCTGAAGGTTTTTAAAAAGTCACTCTGTGGAAAAAAGAAAAAGAAAGTTCTGGAGAGACTTTGTACCTTGGTAGAAAACAATGCCTTAATATGGATACATTTGCTATATTTGCATTTATTTTGAAGGTAAAAGCTGACACTCAGGCTTTTATCGTAAATCAAATGACCATCTTTGCTTTGSTGCAGAAACGGTTGATTTTTCATGTGATAAAACCATTAGAATAACTTAAAGTCATATCAAGATAATATCATCTTCTTCAAAATCCAGTCCATAAAAGGAGGGGTAGAATGATGCCTCAAACATCCTGCTGTTTGGCTACAAGATGTCACATAGTCAGGTTTAATAAATTTAGATTCCTGGTGAGGAATTTGACATCAGCAGCTTGAAGTTATGAGCTCTGTGTCCCAGGTTGGTGCTGGTGTAAATAACTCGTGGTTCACAGAGTGATGCTGTATCATTGTCTAAAGGCCAGGTTTTGCATGATTATGTCACAAAAAATATCTGAAATAGCTTCACATTCACATAAAGAATAAACAAGCAGCATCATTTCATCATTAAATACAGAAAGGATCCTCTTAGACACTGTTTAGTTTKACTTTTCCCAGTAATTTCTTGTATTTAACATGTCTTGTTGCACTACAGTGTATTTATATTCTAGCATCATGACTAATCTGTGGTTGGAAACTGGTGCCTCATTTAAAAAGAAATCCACAAATGGACCACACAAATAGAGGATCCTTCTTTGTGCTGAACTCAATCCTAAGTTGTAAAGTTTTTTTTTTGAAAATATTCAGGTCTTTGGTTCAAATAAAAAGGCATCATGTGACATCCAGTCYTGTTTTGGTCAGATTTGATGTCAAAATATAAGGAAGCTGTCAGATCTAAATCATAAACCCAAGTAAACATTTCCTACTCAGACAAGGTGACTGATTGTGAGATAGGAGATGAAAATTGATAATTAATGCCTGCACAGCTTGCAAGGCTCTGCACTCTTGAGATAACAAATATAAACAAAAATATAGTCTATTTGTGTTAGTTCTTTAGGCTGTAGTTGTGAGAGATTTTTTTTAAAGAGACCGTACTGTTTGAGTTAGAATTAAAAAAAAAGACAAGGTTGACTAAGGATACTACTTCCTTGTGGGAAGGAAATAGTCCAGTCACATACCACACAGTGGTTTATTAYCTTCTTGGTATGAAGAAAATCTCTCTTAATCTAATGGGCTCYACGCTGGGCTCAACAGTGAAATGAGTTCTGTATTAACAGAACAACATCAGCGGTTCTCGGTTTAACTGGACCGTTTTCAACAGACAGTTCTGAGGTGCTCAGACGTTTTGTATTTGAGCCAAAGCTGCAGCAGCAACACAAGGTCAGAGTCAATTTAAAAACAACAATAACTGGTCAAATATGCCTCTTRTCCAAACAATATTTAGATATAAAAACTAGGGCTGCACGATATTAGGAAAACCTGCRATAAYAGTGCTTAATAGTGCRATAAYAATRTGACTTTGGATAAATGAACAAATACGTAAGTAGTGTTAATGTCTTTTTGTTCTGAGTTCAGAACAAAAAAAAACTAACCATTTAAAAAATGAAGCGATCCATCCAATTGGTCAAATACGTGAAGGGCTCCATTTGATTGGTGAAACTCTTCAAGCTTGAGTGACACAAATCATAAATACAAATTTTTAAGCCAACTATTTATTACAGTTTATGCATATTTTTTGCAATATGCCCATTGCACTGGATGTATCACAGTGACGATAAATTTCCGATGTATTGTGTAGCCCTGATAAAAAACAATGAATTTGAACTTAGCACACGCACGCTTGAGTTGAAAGCCAAAATGTTTAAATAAGGGTTGACCCAGTTGTTCGACAAGTGCCTGGAATCAGATAATTTTCAATCTAACCAGTTTGACCTGGGACTTTCATTCTAATTTTATGTTTTYAACCTTTCCAAAGGTCAGTGACCTATTGCGCGGATGCTAATTTGTGCTAGCATTAGCACATCTTTGGTGTGGAGTTTATTACTGGGTGAGGATGACTTAAAGGGCCGTGTTTACCATACAAGTTGTTTTTAAAACACTGAGATTTTTTTCTCAATGTTTGTCTTTACATCTATAATCCGTTAGTGAAATGATAGGCGTGAGAGTTTTTACCTAAATTAATCTAATCACAAAACCAGTAAGATGATGCTTCTGTAAACCTTATACTTTCCACTCATGGCAGCTCTTAGACAAATGAACGTGTTCTCTGCTGACTTAATCTGGTCTCTTCGTTAACACAACCTCTGCTTTGTGTTCTTTTTGCAGCAACTAACATTGCCGTTGATGATGAGCGTTGGCACAGCTGTGATTGGATCCCTGCAGTTCGGATACAACTCGGGTGTCATTAATGCTCCCCAAAAGGTGAGTTGGATGCTCAGTTTAAGAAAATGCGGTGTTCTTTAAAAAGTTTAAATATTTGTAAAAGAGGGAATAAATCTGCTAGTTTCAGAGCTGGCTGTTCACTCTTTTGCTTGATCAGGACAGAGACATGAGAAGGTTTGGGTTAAGGAAGAAGATAAAAATAGTTCTTTCTGTCCTCTTTAGTCCAAGGACGTTTGTTCTTACAGACTATGCAAAAGACAGCGTCTATGCCCAAAGATGGTTGTCTGCTGGGTGCTGGGAAATGGCAATGAGATTTAGCAAAAAAAAAGAAAAGAAAAAGAATTTGTAAGAGGTAGACAGTCACCTRTCCCCATAACCACAGAAGATCATGAAAATGATGTTTTTATGCCCAAAGAGGAATTTGTCTGCTTTAGGTTTTATTAACAGACAACTACAGGGATAAAAAACTAATATTCTCAAGGAATTTCTATATTTAATGTTTTTTTTACTCACTTTGCGTTGGTCCAAACACACCTTGTGGCGAAACAGATGCCTCTCAAAATCTGGCAGATGTTTCAGAGGTTTTTATTTTAACCKTTTTTATTATTTGCAGGGACCTTTGTGTGTTGAACAGTTACAATGATCGCCTGTTTGTTCCAAGGACAACCAGTGCCCACAATCCCCAAACTGTTAAATTGGTTTTGACTTAAAATTAGAGCAACTTTTAGCATCTGCTTTTAATAAAAAAAAAAAGTAGGAATGTAATTTAAAATGTTAAAATCAGCTCTTTAAAGCGTGTATTTTCCAAAGGTTTTCACAAACAGTATCTGTCAACTGAAACAATCGCCTCAGGTCTGGCAAGCATGTGCACCTGATTCTGATGGTTTAACGTAAAACAAAAGGAAACTTTTATGTTTTATTTATTTCAAAAAATATTTATTTCATAAAAAAAACTTAAAAAAACCACACACATAGAAGACCTTTTCCAAAGATGTATTTAAGAATAATTACTGTCTTTTCTCAGCAATACATTTAAAAACCAGCATAAACAAGTATCTCATGGTGATATAGAACTAAATAAAAATGTAATTTTTTAAATGATGGGTTAATAATTGGCATCGATTTGGGCTCACCCTGCTGTAAAGACAGTACATATTCTTCTGTACACTTTAAAGTCAGACATTGCGTTCTTTCTAAGGTTGTTAAGWCTATATTTTACTTACTGGGCCAGTATAAACCTGCCTTCTTGACTACGTGACAAGCCCAGATCTGAGCAATGCTGTAAGTTCTCACAAAGGAATCGTTTTCCAGAATTCTTGAAGCATGAATACAAAAGACCTCCTTAACTATACAACCAAACTAATGTAGCGGCTGCAGTTTAGATTATCACCAGAACTTCTTTTTCCTCAGTTCCTGTTTGTGATAAAGGCAGCAGTGATGCTGCTGCCGGTGATACAGGCCTTGTACTGTGTCCCCGATTAGATACACTCCTCTGACGGCCTTGTTCTGATCTTCCTGTCCTCACCTCCTCCTGTTGCATCTGCGGCTGGTCGGCTTCTCAAAATACGCTTCAGGATATCATCTGATAAGTGTTCAGACTTCTATTGTCTGGATAAATCTGGAGTCTGTGAAAATGAAAACGGGAACCAATAAGACAAATTTTAGCAACTGTTCAATATAACGTGGAAGTTTAGTTTCACGTGGYGCGTTTAAAGAAATCTTCAGGAGTCACCCGACAGCTTTAACAACCAGCAGGAAACACGAATCGGCAACATTTTCTGACTTCAAAGCCGTGTTGTGTTCAGAGAAAACACTSAGCAAATGTGGGTGGGCTGCGTTATACTTTGAGCTCTAAAACTTGAAGTTTGAAAAAAATAAAGAAAAGAACATTAATTTTTCTGCACTGAAAATCAGTAATCAAATTTTACYACATATATTACATGGTTGGGAGATTCGGGTATACACAGAGAAATGTTTAACTAATAAATTTCAGCCAAACATACATACTTTAGATAAATAAAAGGAAACATTAGTAATAGAAGATTTGTTTAGGAATAAGCGTGAGCTCCTTATTACAGCACAGAGTCCTGAGCTGAACTGAATGTCTCATGACTGCTCATTATCAAAGTCAGAAATGTGTTCCTCTAAATAAAGCCTGCGTTAAAGGGTAGATGCTACAGGATGAAGGTCACAGGGACGGAGCCGTGCATGATAGCGTACTTGTGATATCGTGAAGTGAAGTCTTGTGAGTGTAAGCTGATAGTGAATATGACCCAGGCTCACAGTGTCAGAGCGTTACTCTACGTGTGCCCCCCTCCATCAAAGGAAAAGCCCTTGACAAGTGATAGGCAGTCACGCTATTTAACAGCTTCATCGGGACACAGCTGAGGTTTTTATTCCCGTTCCCCACCACGGAGCTCCGGTACATAACGATCTCTGGCACGAGCTTCAGCGCCGGGAGTTATAAAACACAGAGCCACACGTGACACAACTGTTGCAAACATGAGGGCTGGGGTTCTGTGAGGTAACTGACTGCGCCACGACCTGTCTGGGTCTTATGAGAGGTGTGACTGTGACGCTTACTAAACAGACGCAGGCGTTCGCTGCGTGAGTGACGCTGTGATGTSATGTAGTAGCGTGGGGGAGGGGGGTGGAAACTTGACACGTTACTGGTAAACTTCCTTGTTTGATCAGGAAGTTACAGTGATCTTGGAGACAGTGCTGCCATCAGCTGGTTACTCAGCTATTGTGTGCAACTGAGAAAAAGAAAAATAAAAGGCACACAATCAGATTCTGAAGCCCCTCTGATGATTATATTACGGTTAAAATAATGATTTTTTTGTTTCCGTTTGTTGCTCTGATTATATTCGAAGATCCATTGATAATTATGTGCACTTGTACAGCAGAACCAAACGTGTCTTTTTCTTCTGRCAGGTTATTGAGAGTTTCATCAATGAGACGTGGTTTGACCGTTACCAGGAGCAAGTCACCAAAAGCTCACTCACAGCTATCTGGTCCATCGCTGTCTCCATCTTCTCCGTGGGCGGTATCTTTGGCTCGTTCTCTGTTGGACTCTTCGTCAATCGCTTGGGAAGGTAAAAACGATAAATAAAATGTTTTTAGAATAAAATAGCTCGCTTGTATGGAGGACCGAAACTGACATAATTAGAAATAAAAGCGGAAATATGGAAATGAACCAATGAATAAATTAATACACCTAAAATGCACCAATTAAATTTAAAAAGGAGAACTTTACCTCGTGTTTTATAATTTAATTGACTTTCATATTTACTTTTCCAGCTTAGTTCCAATAAATTATATATTTTAGAGCATAATTTTTATTTTACTGTAAAAATGTATGCATTTGTGTCTCTTAAATGATTATATATATTTTTTTTCTTCATAAGTCTTTTTATTTCTATGTGTTTCTTTTACATTTCTCTGTCTCCTGTATTTACATGTCCTTACGCATTTCTGCCTCGTTATGCAAATAAGGTGGGCGGTCCTTCTTGGGTCAGCTCCTTTCCTATTGGTCWACAGACAGGAAGGAGCAGGATCCATGTGCAGATCCACTGTACATGCTTGTGCTGCATCAGTTTAGCTTAAAGCTTACAGTTTAGTTTAAAACAAAAACACAGGTAAGTGTTTTCCTCCTTGCCTCTATAATACATAATTTATTGGAACTAAGCTGGAAAAATAAATATGAACGTCAATTAAATTATGTTTATAATTATGTCGGTTTCGGTCCTCCATATATTGGTCCGGTTATATTTTATAAACATGTTGAAATAAAGATTTTTTTGTCCATACTTTTTGTAAATCTAARTTTATCCTTATTTTTGACGTCTTCAGGAGGAACTCCATGCTGGCAGCCAATGTTCTGGCCTTTATCGCAGCTGCTTTGATGGGTTTTTCAAAGATGGCTAGTTCCTGGGAAATGCTAATCGCTGGTCGTTTTGTGGTCGGCCTCTTTTCYGGGCTGTCCACGGGTTTTGTGCCCATGTACGTGGGTGAGGTCTCCCCGACGTCCATGCGAGGTGCCCTGGGCACGCTGCACCAACTGGGCATCGTCGTTGGCATCCTCATCGCACAGGTTTGTCATCGCCATTGGATTTAGCAACTTGGTGATTCTCCTGTGCAGCTGGTTCATCGTGTCTGTCAACTACCTTACAGGTGTTTGGACTGGACATGATCATGGGAAATGAAAACCTATGGCCGTTTCTCTTGGGCTTCACCTTCATCCCTGCTGTGATTCAGTGCGTCCTGCTGCCTCTCTGCCCAGAGAGTCCCCGTTTCCTGCTAATCAACAAAAATGAGGAGAATAAAGCCAAAACAAGTAGGTTAAGAAAAGTTACCACAAACTAAAACAGTTTCTTTAGCAAATGGCACTTTCTGATACATTTTTTTTTTTCTATTTTAGTTCTGAAGAAGCTCCGAGGCAACACCGATGTGAGCGCCGACATGCAGGAGATGAAGGAGGAGAGTCGGCAGATGATGAGGGAGAAAAAAGTCACGATTCTGGAGCTTTTCCGTTCGCCTCTGTACCGCCARCCCCTCCTCATCGCCGTCATGCTGCAGCTCTCCCAGCAGCTGTCTGGGATCAACGCTGTGAGTTTAAACGCTCACAGAATAAAATGTTGTTTTCTGATGACTGTCTRAAAAGGAAAATAGCCTAGCAAGACATCCTGAGTGTGTGTTTTTGTTTTACTGTCCAGGTGTTTTACTTCTCCACACGTATCTTTGAGAAAGCCGGAGTGGAGCAGCCGGTCTACGCCACCATTGGAACTGGAGTCGTAAACACAGCATTCACTGTTGTTTCTGTAAGTACAGCATGGACCTCACTGATCATTACAATGAAAATATACAGTAAATGTATTTTTAACTTTACGGCTCAAACTGTAAATATAAATCACCCCAATGCATAGGTATGTTTTATTCAATTAAAGGGGACATATCATGTCTAAAGTCCATTTTTTGTTATATACATGGAGTTTCTAGGCGTTTAGAAAAGTTTAATTCAGTCTATTCCAGTGCTGCAAAGATATGTTTATATTCTGTTTGGGTCATATTTATTACAGTTTTCACTATTTTATATGAGGTTTTTTTTTAACTTGTTTTGATTTTAAAGGGGACCTATTATTGACAATTCACTTTTTAAAGGTTGTTTTTACTCAACTTTGGGTATGTACTTCTTAAAAAACAGTCCTAGGACCAAATAAAATGCACCCAGGGGCATATTTACTGTAAGTAAATGTATTTTTAATGTATATTAACGACAAGTTTTATACTTGCGTCATTTGGTGATGTCACAAGCCGTACGACAACCCACCGGAACCTGCGTTCAGCCCCTTACCTAGCAACCCCCGGGTGAAGCTCCTCCTCCTCAGTATAAAAAGCCGTCATGGTTGTTGTGCAATGCGCAGCTCATTTCACAACAGGCCTCCAATAGGGCAATGGGTAGAGTGGGAGACCAGGGAGTGGGAGACCAGGGTTTGAGACCAGCATGGTCACTATTTAATTATTTATTTTCATTCATTATGAACACATTTTCTCATGTACCTCTATTGTTTAGCTTATTAAAGCCTTGTTTGTTCGAGTTTCTGAGGTATTTTGAGCACTGCTGCTCCCTGCTCTGGTAACAGCATGCAGAGTGAGCGCAGAGCAGAGGAGGGAGAGAAAAAAAAAGATGCTGCGACCACGACTCTGCCTCTATGGTTGTACAACGGAGCTTCTGTTATTATTAGCCATGCTAACGTAAATGCTGGCTTTGGAGGGCGGAGTTAATGTCAACAGGTTTTTGGAGGGCGTTACCAACAGAGCTCATTAACATAAACAGCTCTTCTGAACRGAAGTCAGAGCAGGCAGAACTAGAAAATGGGAAATTTTATTATCTGAGAATTATTTTGTGCATTAAATTGAATGAACATGGTCTGGATAGCCCACAGACATACCATAAACATGTCTAGGACCCATAATTGGTCTCCTTTAAGGAACAGCATCAAAACGAGTCAATCTGAGAAACACCCCAGAAAAGAGGGTCTTGTGGGGTCACAATAAGGAAGAATTCAGCATTAAATTCCACTTTATAAAGACCCCCAACTGAATGATTTAAATGTCAAAAAGAAGGGTTTAAAAGCATGACCCAGCACTAACTTTAATATTCAGGTCCCCTCATTCTAAAGCACTAACACTCTTAAAAATTTGGCAAAAGCTAATTCTAAAGCACTAAAATCCCAGCTGAGCCAATATTATCAGTGAGCAGAATATTGTTAATATTTCATCTGTGTTTTATAAAGTTGGGGTCGGGACCTCTTTGTGGGTCACAAAACATCAAGTGAGGGTCCCCAGATGATTTCCAGACATCAATTTAAATGCAAAAAAAAAATGCTAATGGAATATTTTCATCACGATTATCGCATCATAGTTAATAGGTTTGTTTATAGTTATTATTGCCATRTTTAACAGAGTTTTTAGCAAAGTTTGCTACGTAAGCAAGTAATATCTGGGGTCATGAGTGTCTGCAACTGTTATTTTGTGGGTCGGAAGCAAAAAAGTTTGAAAACCACTGATCTACTGGATAAGTGACGTGTGAACAACACGTCTGGCAGCTTTCACCCTCAGCTGCAGACAATAATGTTGATCAATAATATTTAAAGAACTCAATTAGTGCTTATAAATTTAGCCAATAAATTAAACAAGCGCTAATCCACTAATGAATTAAGAAATCAGCAAATGCCCTAAAGCACTAATCATGACATTATTTCCCCTATTAGTGCTTTAGGGGAACTGTGCCCACCACTGTTAAAATGTAACAATCTAGTGTCATTTTTACTCATATCAGTTATTTATCTTGTGTTTTTGTAGCTGTTTGTCGTCGAACGTGCAGGACGCAGGTCTTTGCACCTCCTCGGCCTGCTGGGAATGGCGGGAGCTGCCGTCCTCTTGACTATTGCTTTGGCCCTGCTGGTAGGTGCAACTTTACAGACACATTCCAAGCTCCATGCTGGATCTCCTAGACCCAGTTTTCCATCTTCTGTGTTGTCCTGTCTCCCTGCAGGAGCAGCTGAAGTGGATGTCCTACCTGAGCATCGTGGCCATTTTTGGCTTTGTTGCGTTCTTTGAGATCGGACCGGGTCCCATCCCCTGGTTCATCGTGGCTGAGCTGTTCTCGCAGGGTCCCAGGCCTGCGGCCATGGCTGTGGCTGGTTTCTCCAACTGGACCGCTAACTTCATAGTGGGAATGTGCTTCCAGTATGTCGAGGTGAGTGGAGGACAACAGGAGCTGGATTCGTGTTAGCTGTTTGATTAAAAAAATGAGATCAAATTGAGCCCTGCACTTATTTTTGTCCATGTTTTCACAGGAGCTCTGCGGTGCCTATGTGTTTGTCATCTTCATTGTGCTGCTGCTCATATTCTTCGTCTTCACCTACTTCAAAGTGCCAGAGACCAAAGGCCGGACCTTTGATGATATCGCTGCCGGCTTCCGCCAGACGGCCGTTACGGGAGCAGAAAAACACTCGCCGGAGGAGCTCAACAGCCTGGGGGCCGATTCTCAGCTCTGATAGACTGTCAGGAAACTTCCTGACAAACTGTTTTTAGGCTGAGGGGGAACTGGACAGGTTTGCTAYGTAGAAGCTGACAGATTCACTGGTAGAACAATTTTCAGTCTGTCGCCACATTTCAGGCGTCATCATCGTGACGCCTCCTGCTGCTTCTCTCTTTTACATGCAGAAGTGCTGAAAGGAGGCGAAGATGGAGAGGGTTTTTAATATTTAAAAATACGTTTTTTTTACAAGGGATCCCTGATTGTAACACTAGACATTGATTAACGTTTACTYCAACAAAGTAAACGTTAATSARTGTCTAGTGTTACAAGTAATCGTGGATCCTTTTAAATAAGGTTTTAACTGCTTCAATAACAATCCACCAGCTTTTTTTCTACAAGTAGTTTACTAATAGATGCTTATGCTCCGTTTGTTTTGTGCTGTTACTGTAGAGGGAGTTTGTCGTTACCTGTTTAAAGATGCTGCAGCTGTCAAAATAAGTTCACTGTGCAGAAATACCTGATTTTACTGATCATACTGTAACGAGGTGTCACTTTAGCACTGTCGATGCTCTACCGTGTTTGTCCACCAGGTGGAGCTCTTCCTGTAGAAATGGTGGTTTGGAGCGTTCAGGAGAATCAGAGAAGTTWGTTTTAAGGTTCTGAGTGAAGTTTTTCACTTATTTTACACCTTTAACTTTTTTTTAAACGCTTCATTGCTGAAACATTTATTTTTATAAGAATATATTTGGTAACCTTATCAAAATAGTCAGTAGAAAAATATAATTCTTGTATTTTTATACAATTTTTTTTTTAAATTTGTTAACCAGAGTAAACATATCCATCGAGGTCAACACCTTCATCAGCTGCCATTAAACCCCCAAAAAACATCATACTCGGAAATTTTTTTTAAAAAGTTGCTCATTTGTGAGTTTAGGTGTCCATCTGAAGCGGACCAAAATAAACAAAAATCTTTGTTATCCTAAAAGTGCCGTCAGTCTCAGTCGTAGCTTTTGCGGCTAATTWTATCCAAACAGACGCTTGTTTTGTGGCACAAGTGTTTTGCTTCCAGTGTGCAGAGCATCTATACTCTGTATAGAAGCAGATGTCACTGCACAAGTCGCTGTCTATCACTGCTGTATCTCATCTCGTCACTCGTGTCTTCTGTTTAAAGTTCATCGTTTGAGGAAAGTTCCCTTTTTTAGCAGCACTTTATTGTTCCCAGAGTCGGATGCTGAAGTTGAATATGTTGTGATTTTTTTTACTCCCAGTGTGCAAACTTAGTCACTACAGTGAGACTGAAGTACTGCTGATGGAATATTTAATGTTTATTTTTAAAGATAGAAAGGTCTGGAGTTGTGCTCTTGTTTATATCTGTTCTAGTTTGTACACAAAGTGCACACTGACATATATTGATATTGTAATATTCTGAGTCAGATATAAGCGTGATTTTTTTTCTAATACCAGTTGCAAAAACCTTTTAAATCATTCCAGGATTGCTCCTCCGTTAAATGTATATAATAGATGTTTTAAAGTGCAGGATTTTGTTGTTTGCAGAC